GGTATGAGTGCCAATGAGACAACTCTCTATCCAAGTCAAAATTTATAAAAGTAAACCATTATAGGTCAAAGTACGGTCTTCAACACGGAGCCTTGGCTCACACCGAACAGCAAGCTATAAAGGGCCCCAAAAATTACTAGTGTAAAACCATTCAAACGTGAAAACCAAAGGTCTTATCAGACTGTTACACGAAGACTTCAATTAGTTTTATTGGTAAAGAGTCCCACAAGAATATTATATTAAGCAGACAAAATAAAATTAAAATATGGAGGAGAGACAATAACATACCCTACACACAAAAAAATGCACCAAAAATACAGCAATCAGAAAAAAACGACAGAAAGGCGCGAACCACTAAAACAGGATGAAGTCATATCGCATTCCAAGTTTGAAGTAAATACGAGTGTTTCCCCCATCACACACATACTAAAGCACAAAGTCAAATCAATTTAATGTCAATATTAATCAGACAAACCAAATAATAGTGATATAACGATTGACAAAATGTAATCGAACATACTATAAATAAATAATTTAATTTTGGATGTAACACGTCTTCTGATTGGCTGAAAGTTTTTTGTCTATCAGCTCATAGACATAATTTTGTCATGTGACCGTGACGTCATCAACGTCCTTTCATGATTTACTCCTTAAAAATGGAATTTAGAATTAAATTATAAGGACTGACTGTAATATTCGAAATTGTGTACCACATTTTTGGGGTTATTTCTTCATAGACAGACAAAATATTACAGTCATTCCTTAAATAGATACTACTTTCTATAAGCAGGGTCAATAATTATTAAAATCCAAATCTTCTGCTTAGCATAAAATAAGTTCTTAACTACCCATTAGGGTCCGTGAGGGACACGAACATGTAAAGCTATTTTAAGTTTTCATTGTATGCAAAACAGTTCTTTAAGGCAAGTAACAAATACAAACTACAAAATTATACTATTTTGATTTTACGCTTTAATATCAATGTTGATTCTAATATGACATGCTTCTTTCGCTTTGTAAACAACACCATGATAAAATACTCGATATATCTATACTTAGCTCAGACTCAGAGATATACATAATAATGGATGTTACAAAATACCTCCTACGTAAATCCACATGTATCGGAACTTATTTGCAAACGCTATGCCGATTTTATTGTTTTAAAAATTACAATTGAAAAAAGACTACAGAACTTCTATTCTTATTCGGATGCATAACAAAAAAAAATAAATGCACAATAGCTCGGAGAAATCTACAGAATCAAAATAAATTAAAATTCCGCGAAAGTCCGTTAATGCTTTTGGCGCATTTAAGTCATTTCAAAACATGACGTCATACAAATGAAAACGCTAAAGCTGAATGTTTTTCCGTTACGTGAACCATGGAAGTTCGTATTATATTGCATTAAAATGAATTTTTGAGGTAGGGTTTGTTTTATTTTCTATTCTATTGCATTATTCGCATATTTACTGTTTCAGCAAGTCAACATGGCGGCTCCTTAGTTACGAAATGTCAACTTTGGATTTGACGGTTGCTTACGAGAAAAACATGTAAATTACAAATGGCAAATGTTGGGTTTGAGAGTTAAAAGAATTAAACACATTTTTCTAGCAGTTATTTGCGAAATATTTGCTGTAAGCTACATATTTATTAGAAGGTTTAAGCTTTATCTAACAGGGAGTAAAAAAGAATAGCGACACACACGGCATACCCACCCTCGCTTCAGTTTTTTAATGACCGTATTTGTCCTATTAGAATCAAAATAATTCATGGAAGCCATAGATTTGTTGTAAATTTACACATGGCCTGGGCCGTGATATTCGTTAATTTTATCCCTCGCTAACGCTCAGGATAAAATTCGAATATCACGGCCCAGGCCATGTGTAAATTTACAACAAATCTATGGCTTCCATGAATTATTTCTTAAATAGAGCATTTGTCAAACACTATTCCTGTCAAGTTTGGTGTTAGAAAAACAGTAGTTTCAACTTTTTATATAAAACTTCATCTGTTTCTAACTGAACTGTAAAAGAAACATAAATGGATAGGCGTAATATTTTTTCTTCAATTTTAAGACAGTGCATAAAGAAAGATATACCTATGCTATTTTAGCCTAATAGGATTAGATATTTACATATTTTGGAAGAAGTCTTGCGGGTTTTTTAGTATTATTGTGTCTCCACCAATTAATAAAATTTAACAGCAAGGTTATTTTGTTTGCTAACATTTGTTTTACTTTTTTCCTCGGAAGAGGAGATGAGAGAAAATGTTTTTCTCTTTTTATTAAATTCAAAAACTGAATAATAAACATTATTTGTTATAATTTTAAAAAATAAATCTTTACACATATTTAAATACATATATCTATATATATATATATTTATATCTTCTTTTGGAAAATGTTGTTTGAGCTGTATTTAGACCCCTCTACCAAGAAATTTGTTTTGCATGCACACGTATAAAAATTGCGGTTTTTATCCAACGCAATCATAGGTTTGAACGTTGTTTTCAATTTAGACTTGTTTATATATATATAGATATATGCATAACGCAAATGTGCAGATCTAACATTGTTGGGCTAAATTTGAGACGAAGAATATATAGATTATGGTGTTAACCCTGTATAACCACAGGTTATTCGATGGAGAACGTCTGCCGTAAAGTTTTCACATATTTAGACGTATATATATATATGCGATTATCATTTAACTAGATAAACAGAAAAAACTCATCAACAATTGATTTTGTTCGATTTAAATTAGTATATTCTTTTTATGTGAAAACCTGATGAAGGTGCATTTAGAATAAATAAACAAATAAATAAATAAATAAATAGATAAATAAATAAATAAATAAATAAATAAATAAATAAATAAATAAATAAATAAATAAATAAATAAATAAAAATAATAAATAAATAAATAAATAAATAAATAAAAATAATAAATAAATAAATAAATAAAAATAATAAATAAATAAATAAATAAATAAATAAATAAATAAATAAATATTATTTTTACATCTTCGTTACTGAAGGTTTACAAATCACAGTTATTTCGTAGCCTTGTCGAAAAAGACTAGATATAAATAGAAATGAACTAGACTGTAGGACATGATGACTTAAACTGTTAAATATTAGTGGTGTGATATTGTCTTGTCTAGTTAGTATAATTACAGTGAAATCATAACAAGTTGTCAAAAGAAGTAGAATAAACTGTATTTTAGTGTTTGTGCAAAACGAATATACGTTTTTTTCTTTGTGATAACCTTGTTATAGCATAAAGGGAAGACGGCACTTATCAGACCGGTGGGCTTGTACGGGGGATGATATCGACGTCCTATATCCTTTGTCAGCCTTTACATGAAAAATCTGTATCAGCCCTCTTCCGGTTTAGAATGTCGTGTACAATTTACGAGATTTCCTAATTAAAAGTGACCTTTCCGTTTATAAAACCGAGCATTACAGCTTCCAAACAAAATACAATGAGGGAATGAAACGAAAAAACGTACAAAAACAAACGAAAAAAGGCAGAGTAGTCCCATAATGCACAACCCTATAAAAGAGAGGCAAAAAATACCAAAAAGAATTAACATTAAAACTTCAAACTCATAAGTCGATCACAAACTGGCAAAAACTAAAAACGACAAAAAGACAAACAACAGTAGACAAAACACAACATAGAAAACTATAGACTGAGCAACACGAACCAAACCAAAAACCGGGGATGATCTCAGGTGCTCCGGTAGGTTAAGTTGAGTATTTTTAACCTACCTCTAATGTAGCTTAGTAAAATATAGTTTCCAGACAGTTTTTATTTTGATTTGTTTTTGGTCATTTGATTTGAGCTTTATCGCCAAATTGCAATTACTGCATAGCTATTAAAGTAAGTTTAATTGACAAAACAACTGCATATCTTATATCAGATATTCAAGGATATCCCAAAAATGAATATGCATATCAGTATGACGAAGAATATATGGCTAGAAGATGGCAGCTAAACCTTTTCTAAATCTACATGTTGGTGGGAATACCAATAATGCAATGTATCTTTAATGTCCTTTTTCAGATATACTTAAAAGCGAAAGCGATTTTTTAAACGTTTGAGTAATTCTGATTCTACCGTACATAGATATATTAGGTCTACCCTAGACGTATTATCAACTTAATCAATAAATTTGAGATAACAACGATGAATGTTTACAAATGGTCCGACATATTTCAGTATCTAATCAATACAATGAAAATTTTACCTAGGATTCAAATGACATTGTAAGTTTGAAACATTTTTATTACTTACATCAAATCACCAATACAATTTACTTTTAAAATTTTGTTATTTGCTTTGAAATTTGTTATTCTTTTGATTTTTTATAACTGAAGGTATAAGGACACCAAATTGATGTAATTGAATTGACACTCAGATTTAAAATATTGAATCGAACATTTAGTATTTTTGTCGAATATTAATATAGGGTCAAAGTTCGTTCCATTTGTTTGGCGGATTTACACTGTACTTTTTTAATTGAGACAAGATTTGAGTATAAAAACATACAATGGAATTTGAGGTTGTAGATGACATTTGTGTCAGCTACAATATTGATAATATAGTACTCGATTTCTTAAGGTAGGTATCACACTAGACTTAAAGCACGTGAATTTATGCAGGATGTCTGAAAAATGACAAACCTTTTTTTTTTAAAAGAGGCGAAGGATACCGAAGGGACATTCAAACTCAAAAGTTGAAAATAAACTGATATCGCCATGGCTAAAAAAGAAAAAGACAAACAGACAAACAACAGTACACAAAACAGCATAGAAAACAAAAGACTGAACAACACGAACCCCGCCAAAAACTGGGGGTGATACTCTCTCGTTATCTGTGCAATTTTTTTCTCTATTATATTGTATGTACATGTCGCTAATCATTATATTCAGTATCATTTTTGTATATACATAGTTTTGATAAAAAAACATTCATGTTTCATTTCAGATACATTCATGATTATTTGTTGTTGGCCATGGTATTAAATGAAATTTACTACAAATAGACATAGACATATCAGTATTAAATAATGACATCAACGGTTTCTTTTAAAATGGCAGTCACCGCTTATGCTAAATATGCTCTCGGATTTACTGAATCAATGGAAGACGATATATGCGTTCATAAAAATTGTTCGGGGAATGGATTTTGTCAAGATGGACAGTGTATATGTTTGGTATGTATAACATTGTCCCATTGCTTCAAGTAGATATAAACTTATGTAAACCAAGTAATGATTTTTCCAACATCCTGACTTCGTTATAACATGAAAATGACCGAATTGGTCAGTGTATAAAGCATACAACAACAAAAGCGATACAATGTTTTGATTTTTTTTAAAGGTCATCAATTTGAAGTTGCACGTATATACACTTGTAAATGAATTTTAGTCTGAAACAGTCATTTTGATCTTAACATCATCAGAAAAGTCTGAACAATAAAAATTCATTTATGGTCAGTTTTTCCGTCTGTTTTCTGACTTATCCACCTCAACTTCGTATCTTATTTGAACATTTTTACTTTTATGATTCGAGCGTCACTGAGTCTATTGTAGATGAAACGGTCGTCTGGCGTACACAATTTTAAGCCTTATTTTTATGATGAAATTATCCACTGCGGTAAATCAGTGCTGTGCAGACTTTTAGACTTGCAGTCAATTCTGTACTGTTTAGTAGTTTTTCAGACAATTTAGTATGATGTTGATTTGTACAGGTAAATAACAACAACTGAACATAGAATGGACAGAATTGGATTAACTGCAGGCGAATTGACATAACAGTACTGCATTTACCGCAGTGGATAAGTCTGAAAATTCACTGAAAGTCAAAACAAGACTGGTCAGATCGAAATTACCGTTTCAGATCAAAATTGGTTTACTAGTGATGTTAATAATTAATTTATTTATTTACGTATCTATAAATGTATTCATCATGAAATAATAGTGTATTATTTCATCATTTCACTAAATTGTTTAATATAATGTTAAACAAAATAAAATAAAACAAACAGATATTATCCCAATCTAAACCCGAGAAGATTGTGCATACCCATTTAGATGTTCAAACAAACATACAAGTATATAAGGCTTTTAAAAAGTGTTGATAAATAAAGGCAACAGTAGTATACCGCTGTTCAAAAGTCATAAATCGATTGAGAGAAAACAAATCCGGCTTACAAACTAAAACCGAGGGAAACACATCAACTATAAGAGGAAACAACGGAATAACAGAAACACTGAAGTGCAACAAAACAAATGCCAACATACATAGAAACGAACTATTTGATAACATCTGCCATATTCCTGACTTGGTACAGGACATTTTAAGAAAAAAAATGGTGGGTTGAACCTGGTTTTATGGCTAGCCAAACCTCCCGCTTATATGGCAATTGTAAGATATATCGCTATAATAACAACACTACGTGACAGAAATACAGCACAAACAAACGCAAGAACACCCAGCACAGAGGAACGCACAAATAAATAACATCATAGTCGTTACAACATGTAAACCGCAGGATAACAAAGATCATCTTCCATTAACGATAGCACAGGACATCACAAACAGTGTCGTATTTTTGTAACGAATATATAATCTTGAAATTCATACAATTATTTTCACAATACTAGTCCAAACAATTATCATGACTATGGCGGTATTGAAAGGCTATTTTAAATAAATGCTGTGACGACGTCATAATTATTTGGACTAACACAATACTTCATCCATGAAAAATGGAAATTAACTCTACTATACTGACAAATAAGATATTTATAAAATGTACCGGTAATACAGAATTCAAACCACAAACGATAAGACATAACACAATATCCAAACGAAAACACAACAGATTTACTCCAATAACTTTTTATTCATAATTAATCTTTTTGTATCATCTTAACCAAATATACTATAGTAGGAACTCATCGAAGATACCAGGCTTACAGTTTAGTATGCCAGACGTGAGCCAAATATACTATTATAGTAGGAACTCCACGAAGATACCAGGCTTACAGTTTAGTACGCCAGACGCGAGTTTTGTCTACATACGACTCAAATAGTGGCGCTCAAATCAAACATTTTGAAGGCTAAATCAAATACTATATGCACTACACTATTAATTAAATACATAATAAAGACCAAAAGTAACTTTGTAATACTTACTAAATAAGAAAACATCTCAATTCAATTATTAATATCATTAATGTTTGAATTTCAGATCCAATTTACTGGTGGTTCATGCCAAGATGCAAACCTCGGATACTTTATGGCGTTTGGTACAATATTTGTTTTTCTATGTCTAGTTTCATTTGTTCAACTGGTAATTTTTAATCATTTTATATTATTTAGAAATGAATGTTAAGGATCTCCATTTCATGTTTGTATTTAGACATTTATCGAACGTGATTTCCTAATTTTACATTTTAAATAGATTTATTTTTCTGTCTTAATGTTGCATGATGCAGTTTGACCACAAAAAGAGAAGATACATAAGGGGCATTCAAGTTCAATAGTACAACCAATACCATGGCCAAAAATTAAAAAAAAAAAAACGAAATGACAAACAACAACAACAACATCATATAGAAAACAAAAGACTGAGTAACAAGAACCCCACAAAAAACCGGGGGTGAACTCAGGTACCAATTTCGGTAAAAGTTATCATATATATTGTTAGCTCGGTTAGGTTTTAAAAGAACATAAAACGTTGAACCATTGCAACATCACGTATTGTTTTTATATTGGTCTCTCGCTTTAATTTTGTCACTTCGGTATTTACTTGCTTTAAAGATTTTATTTGTAAGATATCTTTGTTCAAACCGATTAATTTGATCTGCGTTTTCACAGCATAATATTAATTTATATGTAAACTCGAGACCAAAAGCATGATAAATTAGACTTAGATAGAAAACAAACAAAAATAAACAAAACACCAAATTGCTAAGGTCAACATGCAACCTTAGTTTTAGTAAAATAAAATGATTCTATGAAAACGAATGTTATAGACAAAATGTATCACTTGAATCTAGTTACTAATGAAGCCCTGGCTTTTTGTCATATGGCACTACATCAACAGTACCGAATCATTGATATTGAAACGGATGATTTAATTTCCGCTATCACAACATGATGTTATAGATAAAATGGACTAATATAACGTTAAAGACCGTAAAACCGGTTTAACCTCGTGAACTATTGCTCTATAACTACCTTCTCAACTATTCAAACTATCTGCAGTGCTTTCCCAAAATTCGGGGGGGGGGGGGGGGGTGGCGGATCTCAAGTGCTCCGGAAAATAATAAAGTAGAAATAATTTCACAAATTATGAAATGTTTGAGTGTATATGTATGTTTTATTCCAGTTTTTATGTATAAGCAATGAATACCAAAAGCAAAAGACGAAGTCTTGGAAAAAAGTTTTCAAAATAACAGGTCCTAAACTGTTGTACATATTGACTATCTTTGCAACAGCTATCAGAGGTGTTTATTTCTTTACAAAGGTATGTATGAGATGTCTGCAGAACATTCAGAAAAATGTTCTTTGTCAATTTTTCCACTGTCTGCAACGAGGCTTAAATATAAAACATAGGCGGTGCATTTTTCGAGTCGAAATGTGTTAAAATTTATGTTAAAACCTATAAAAAATGTATACTAGATTATGCAGATGGAATGATATAAAGACATTTTGTTTTTACTTACCAAAATTTCCAAGAATCTCTCGTACAGTGCTTATGTGCGTTGTCATCAATAAACAAATGTATCATCCTGTGCATATTAAAGTGATATATATTTTTTTTAGATGCACATATCGGATCAAGCCTCAATACATTTGTGGAGTGCTTATTATCCTATATTATTATCGGGTTCATCTTTAATAGTATGTTTCTGGGCAGAGGTAATTAGACATAACCAAAAACACATTCTATAAATAGTTATTTATAGGATTTTTTTCATCATAAGGTATTCTAAAAAGAAGAAACTTGGTGACAGCTAAAAGAGATGGAACGAACTGTGAAATATAATACAATTCTGTATCTGAAGGTTTGCCCCATATACAAGTATGGAGATACACTTTTGGTGTCGGAAATTCAAATTCGAACGAATTGAAAATAATGTTATCTGAATTTCAAAGAAATACCACATGGTTCTGACTACATGAGTATAACTTAAGGGGTCACACACTATATACGCAAAAAATCCCAATCAAGCAATATGGTAATCATGATATAAGATGGTAGCATAGACTAGTAAAAAGGCATCGCAGAAAAGAAAATATATAAAAAGTCTAAAATTCATCACAAATGTTGAATAGTTTTGACAAATTGAACTGTACTTGTAATTATTCTTCGAAATATCAATATTGCTGAAACAAATTGAAAATCGTCATTCTGCTCCTTCAGAAACTTACAGAAAATCAAGGCTTACAGCTGCATTGCATTGCATTTACAAAAGGGTATGGTTGATCAAAAAATAAAAACAACACGTTATAAATTTCAAAGTGCATTGTATCTACCAAAAGCATTGCACCACATCTAAAACAACCAAATTTGATTCACAAAAGACAGCTATATTTGCTATACATGAAAGTTAAGTATAAACATACACTTTAAACTATTTTATATTTACCTCAGGCATTTCATTTGGAGGGTATTGACTGTGATAAACCAAGATTCCTGAGTAAATCTATTATAGGATTTGTTGTATTCAATGTCGTCATATTAGGATTACTTGTCACACAGCTAATTGCTACAGATATAGATGACCCTGTCATTTCGGTAAGTATTGTAAAATATAAAACGAAAACTTAATAAAAACATCTTACTGATTTAACATGACAATATATACTACATATGCTTGACTGATAAATGACATATTTTTCTAGTTATTCTAATATCAAAGTAAATGTATCATAAAGATGTAAATGGATTGATATAAAAAGTAATACCGTGTTCTCACTGGTTTAGATCATTCTGGTGAATGAAGATCTAGAACAGTTGTGAAGCAAATAAAAAGTGTCTGTAACCAACACAATCTAGATTTGTGGAGATGACACGAATGTCCCTCCTACAACAACAGCCTTATATTTTTACAAAAGACCAGAACATAGACTTAACATTTATTTTACGTATTAGCGACAAATTCAAGACAACAATTCCTTGACAAGATACCGATTTTACCTTGATTTACCATTTGTGCCTTTTGAAAAATATGTGATATCAATAAAGCATTGGATGTTACAAAAGAGCAAAGTAAGTCCACCAGAGCAGAACGCAAACTATATATGTTATTCAACAATACACAACTAAATAATGAATCTGCAGCAATAGAAAGGATGCACGAGTAAATTTTGCACATAATTTCCCAAATGTGCATCAAAAGAAATAATTTTTACTCACTTTGTAGAACAATAAAATCAATTCAATATTTGCGAGCGTATAAATCATAACAATTATATAAATAAGTGAAGATGTGGTATCATTGCCAATTTGTATAAAATTTCTAAATTTCTGACCGAGTTATGGAGCTATAATTCAATCAAACAATTTAGTCAAACGAGGGCAAACTCATTATCCAATTCATCAATATATGTAATAACAAAACTTCAAAAACTAGTTGAATTCTTTAACGTCACGAAAGAAGTCTAAATAAATATTATCATTTCTACAGGAAGGAAGGACGTTACGTTGTAATATTTAAAAACAAGAGGCGCATGAAACATGACTTATATGCTAACTCATTACAGACAACACGTACGGATATATGACAACACAAAAAAGATAACATTTACGAACTCCAAAACTGTGGTCGACAAGGATTAAAAACATCATTCATGTTATATGTTAGATATAAACTTATGCAAAATCTAAGTTTTGAAAAGAAAGAGAGACATAAATCTTTATATATATCAAATACAGTAGCAAAACATGTTTAACTATAGAACGTTCTAAATTATCTTGTCTTTTATACATATTCTTCTAATCTATTCGGTTATAATTTTGGGCAGTTGTATGCATGTCGATGTCTTTTTTTTTTTACTTTTTGAAGGATTCCATGTGTCTATCGTGGCTTATGAATGTTCGTCGTTTTAATTTTCTCTCTCTAATTAATTTCGTAAACTTAATTGAATAAAATCACATCTAAAAGGCTGTATACATATTATGAAAAGTAACAAGGCATCCATTTCTTTCCTTACAGAATAATATATACAGAATTTGCAATGGCTGCGTTGGTTTGTTGCTCATAATTGCTGTTGTGTTCTTCCTAGTCTATGGAGTTGAAGTGTACTTTAAGGTAATTTCTATTTCCGTTTGATAAAATTTATATCATCTAACAGTTTTTCCATCTATAATGTCGAGTGAAACGTAAGATGATTTCTTTTTTCCCTAGAATATTTAAGATTTTCTGGCAGGTTATGTTTGCATTTATTTATTATTGATTAATGATTTTTTCATTAACTAATTACTAGCATTTATCAAAAATTTAACAAATTATATGTTTCGCTGTAAAATTGAGGAAAAACCTACTTTTCAATTGGAAAACAACACTTTATAAATTCCATGCGTCCGAAGCGCTTTTCCGGATTTACCTCTAACGGGAACGCTCAAATCCAAACGTTAGAAAGCCAAGAATGTATAAATATGCGAAAGCATATAAAATTATTGATCTATAGAATTTGTGGGACATTCCTGACCTAGAATATGAAAAAATAAACTAAAAATGCACCTAAATGATTTAAAACAGAACCCAAGTTTCACATGCATAAATGTTTGTCATATAGATAATTTGTTGCATATTTTTTCGTACTAATTAACGGTAATTGCGACACTGAAATCACCGCAACACTGTAACTTATGGTTTCGAAAAAGCATATAGACATAGAAATGAAGTGTGTTGTACTTTTTAAGAAATAATACATAAAAAGGACAACAGGAACAACCACAGAATTAGTAAAACAGACCACAACATCCATTAATAACCGACTCCTTCGAGAAAATAAACGTACACACAAAATAAAACCACAACAACGAAAACCACATGGCACAGATATGAGAGTACATACAGACGGACAAGAGTGTATTCCGTATGCCTCAGCCACATTCGTGGTATGATAGTGAACAATGAAAACTATCTATGTAATGTCTTCCAACAGTAATGGAACCTTATGAAATTAAAATTATTTAATAATTTCAAATGAAAATTACGATGAAGTAGTGACAAATGTCATGATGCAAGATTTATAATTTTTATTCTTTGCATTTCACGTTTTCTTTCTAAAACAGGTGCGTGGGGCTTTTAATAAAACCCAAAGTAATGTGGATCCCTGGCAGTTACATATGTCTAGACTGGGTTTGATAGCACAAGCATGTCTCCAATTACTAACTGCTCTGTTTCTTATATCCGATGCTATGAAAGATAATTGGAAGAAAAGGTACATACCTGTCATATATTGTCATGAAATGGCTATTTTTTATTATTTTTTTTGAATTCAACTAGTTAAGTGTATTTAACATGTATGTTATTTCACAATATGAAATAGAAAGAAAAAAAAATTGGAAACAGGAAGAATAAAATGAGATGTAGGGTGTGCGTTATTCGTCTTTACGTAATCTTTGGGATTCAAAGCAACAAAAAGATGCATGGTTTAGATCAAACCGAAAAGAAATACGAAATAAAAACCAAAAAGTATCAAATAACATTTTTCCCAAATGATATCACATCTTAGCGAACAGTAAAATAACAAAAATACCGAACTCCAAGGAAAATTCAAAACGGAAAGTCCCTTAACGAAACAGGGTAAAAATATATTGAAAAAGGTGTTTTTCTTTATAATTCTTTCAAGTTCCAGTTTCAACACAAATGGCATACACAGTTAACAATCTAATACCTTACGACAAGAATAGTATGCCAAATGTTGCCATCAGCATGCAAAAGTTGAATTATATAAGTATAAAAAAAATGCAATGTTATGATTTTTAATAATTTATTATACATGCATTTTTTTGCATAAATGTAAATGTAAACCTTTTTTTAACATTTTTTGAATAAGTAAAACAAAAACACAAAATTTGCACAATAGACTATTTCTTCAATGGATAGAGGACATATACAAGAATATGCAAACATAGATACAGAGCACCTGAGATCACGCCCGGATTTTAGTGGGGTTTTTGTTGCTCAGTCGATTGTTTTTGTATCATGTGTTTTATAGACTTGTTTGTCTTTTATTCGTTTTTTGCCGTGATGCTCACAGTTTGTTTTCGACTTACGAGTTTGAATATCACTATGGTATCTTCCGCCTTTCTTGTGTAACTAACAAAAACTTTTATCAAATATTCTGCTAACTACAAACATAACACCATTAATGTTTCAATAAATTTAAAGATAATAGAGGTAGATATTGATCCTTTGGCTAAATGATCCGGGCCAATTAGCTTTAACGTCATCTCACACCATGTATAAGTGTACGGCTTCCTCTAACTGCACTGTCTTTGCTATTTTTTTTTTAAATTAAAAAAAATACTGCTCTTTTCCCTATATGCTGATTAGCTTTTAAACAAGGAAATTGAATACCATTTGTTTATAACAATCGTAGATCAGTGCCAAATGGATGTTTTATTCACTCGCATACTCGTCCCATTTTTCTCAAACATTCTAATTACAAAATCCTGTAACTGGTAACATTTAATATGCAAAATAATGCGCCTGTAAAAAACTCAAAATACCTGACTTATAAGTCCATAAAATTTTCTTAAAAATCAGTGGACGAAAAGCTCAATGTGTAATGATGTGAATAAGTTTAGATTAAAATAAGGAAAATGAAATAACAGAGGCATATTAATTCTGATTAATTATAAACTGGTGATTTGTAAGACTGAGCAATTTTTCGGTATTTATTTCAGCCTCCCAGTGTTTGATCAAAACTTTTATGACATTGGATTCAGAATTGCCGAATTTGGTGTTGTATTATGGTTTCCTTGTGTCCTTTGGAACTGCAAAAGGTATGTTTTAAATAAAAGCATTACTTGATTCCTATTTTAGAGCCAGAAAAAGACATCGTGAATATAAAAGTTATATTTCTGTAAATTTGTCAATTTACTTGTGACATTAATTTTTAATCACGCGATGATTTAAACTATGTTTTCTCTTTTAAGCGCCTTCATTTATTCCGTATGGATTTAATATTATTCCTATACTGTTTGCATTTCAATATTTTCCCGTTTTGACTTTGATTAATAGGATAGAAAGTGAATTTGGTATAATACTTTATATCTTAATAAATATTATGCAATTCAACTGAAACTGAGGTTGTAACTTTCTCAGGAGTAGTAAGCCTTATGCAGTTTTGACAGCTTTTATTTCGAAAAGGGTCGGTTTTGATGCTAAACAATATTTCTGTTTTGGGTTGCGAGCGTTTGATTTCCCACGTGCTTGTTGAATATTATTCCAGACACGTATTATGTGAATCGTAATTGGTATCATACGTATATATTACTGCCACTGGTACAATGGTATGCACTACTGACAATCTGTCAGGTTGCAATTCCATCAAGCAGTACTGATCCTTAGACAATTTATATAACTGCATAAATCTTTATGGATCAAACTGAGAAAAAAACTTAAGGGATAATAAATATGTCTATTTGAGATCATCTGCGACAACTGGGTCCATGACACTGCTAATGGACGTTTCGCACCCGAAGTTATCACCAGCTCAATAGGCAGAACTTCTGTGGGGACTTGAAATATCATGGATGCGTCAGTTATGTAAATTAGTTTTTATAAAACATTAGAATCATTCGAAATACTAATTTCTTCTACCCCAGTCATATACGGTCGTAGCCCTTTTTTACAACTTTTTTGGAATTTTTGAAAATATCTTTAAACATTTTAACTTCTTTACTTCAAGCACCACTGATCAGTCTTGTGGTGACAAAACGCGGGTCTAGAGTACACAATTATAATCCTGGTATTTTAAATAGTTTTAGCACTTGAGTTATTATAGCCGAATTTTTAAAGAAAAAGATTGGTTGCCCTAAAGGTTTATCTCATATTCGGGGGTTGGTGAAAATAGATTGTATCTAAGGACACACATTCAGAATCACTGCAATTTAGATACTGTCTTTAGATGTTGCGTCAAGTAAGGTCTCTCTGTTTTTCTCTCCAATTTAATAGTTATATGGTGTTATTTCTAATATATAAATAATCATCACATCAAACACTTCCTTATACTACCAGGAAGATCGACAATAGATTATTGTATTTATTTCCTTTTTATTATATTTCAGTCCAGAAAGTTTATGGGTACTTAATCCACAGAAACTTTTCAAAACTTTGAAAATTGACAGTTGTACACAAGAGGAACACACGGAGTCAACGATTCGTCCAAATTATGGGACGATAACTACAGATAACAGTAAGTATCGATCAATGATACCGAATTATTGAATACAATATAGCTTTCGCTTTTTTTAATTGTGAATTTAAAACGATGTTTAATTAACATTACTGTTCGTCTACATGGTCATCTTAAATTTGTGTTATATTCCATTTAAAGTACTATTGTATTTATCAGGTACAAAGCAAGATTGTTGGATATGCTATGATCCAGAAAGAATTGATGCCGGAGATTTGATACAACCGTGCCAGTGTAAAGGGGATGTTGCATCAGTCCATCACGAATGTCTTCGCAAATGGCTTATGGAGGTATGTTTATGAGCGGTTTTTTTTAAACAAGTTTATAGCCGTTTTAGAACTGTTAGGTTAACAAAAAAACTGGTAGGGTGCAATAGAAATTCATAGAGCTCAAAACTGAACTGTCATATTATGTAACTATTTTCGTTTTCCTTACAGAGTTTTCCAGGCCTTTTATGGAGAAAATGGCCCATTTTATTTTAATCATTTGCAGATTTGTTGAATGAAATTGATTGGTGTCAGTTACTTAATGTCCAGTTACAACAATCTGATTAAAATTCAGATCAATCTTTACTAGCGTGCTCGTATTTGAAATCAGAGATTTATATTCTAATTAGATTGCATTTGCAACTGTTTCAGATATTTTTTGGAAAAACAATGAATTAGAATTTTCAAAACAATCTGCCGATTATTCAGGGCGATCCAGAGCTTGCAAATGCTCTAAACAACCTGCATGATTAATATGCTATTTTTCAAGCTGATGACGCCAGATTTTTACAACTGTATTATGTCATATGCAAACAATAGTACCTTACAATGCCTCCTTTACGAGCTACATTTGGAAATCTCACACTTAAATCCAAAACAACAGATGAAATTAATAAAATCATAAACCTAGACTTTTTGGTATTAATATCATTGCAAAGAATGTCGATCTTCCTCCTATACATAGGATACCTCAATTACACAAGAATGAAAAAAAAACCTTGCATAGTGTGATCTTCCAGAAAAAAAGTAAAATAATAAAAATACCGAACTCCAAGGAAAATTCAAAAGGGAAAGCCCCTTATCAAATGGCAATGATGTTGCACTCAATAACTTTCCGGCGAATTCTAACAAATATATTCTTACATAAAATGATAGAAGATACCAATGACTACCATTGTGACTGTTATAATAACACAATGAAAGTAGTTCCTTAGATGCAAATTTTCTAACCCTAAGACTTGACCGAATGTGAAAGTATGTAATGAAAACAAGGGTTTTCAGGATAAAGAATAAACGCGATTTTTTTTTTCAGAGGAGACAACAAAGAAATTAAAAAATAACAAAGCTAATAACACTACACACAAAACTAAAGCAAAAAAAAAACCACGAATTCCTTTAAAACAAACATAGGATGAAGGGTAAGTAGTTCCTGCTCCAGAAAATAATTCTATTAATCGGGATTTTTTTTAGATAGAGTTAAAACAATAGAATTTGATATTACTAATTCAGTGAATTAGACAAATATAATAACATAACATTTGTGCTGTTCCTTGTTTCAGTGTTCAGCCGATGAAGATGGTTTTAGATGTAAAGTTTGCAAGAATAAAGTAAATGTCTTTATCAGTTATCTAGTTTATCTTCAATTTGAAAAGTTTTCCACACATTATAAAGCGCACACACAAGTACATTTTGAATCAATAAATCATTACTAATGCTTTGGAACGTACAACGCCTTTCTATTCTATTTCAACCAAAACTTATAAAGCAATTTATTATATAACTACAAGCATTTAATCAATGAACCTACGTCTCAGTAAAATGTTTAGCAGTCATAGTTACGGGCAGATACATATACCTTTTTATACTACAAGTTAAAGCTTCATAAACATTGACCGGAAAACCCTTAATTCCTGTAATATACGGATATTTTTAATGAACATACTTATATATGAACGCTATATTGGATTTTCAATACACATTCATTATTTAGAGAATAACCACTGATTATCTTGACTGTCCAACCAAAATAACAAAACGTTGTTAAAAGTAAGAAATCTGCAGTCACAAATATAACTCCAAAATCACCAAATTATTAGGGTGTAGATAGGTGTTTACTGAATAGAGAATAATTGGCAAAAAATGTAAAAAATAGAGAAAAATTGACAAAAGAAAATAGATTAGAGAATAATGAGGTGCTTAAATATAAAGAATAGATAACCATGGGCAAAAAGTATAAAGAATAGAGAAAAATGACCTAAAAGATTAAAGAATAGAGAAAAATGACCTAAAAGATTAAAGAATAGAGAAAAATGACCTAAAAGATTAAAGAATACAGAAATGAAGGACCCCGTCCATACCTTCAATTATTTGTGATCGATATCAAGACTATAGCCAGTCGACTTTATTATTATTTTTTTATATTTATTAAATTAAAGTATCAACTGAAGGAAACATGGACGTTTGTCCCACGTTATATCAAGACACGGCATTGGTTGCAAACATTCTTGTCACTTGTTATCATGGTTGGTTGTCCATTTGGAGCATACACGCTGATTCATTCGGTAATCACTGCAACATACATAGATGTTCTGACAATTGGCGTATGTATTTTGGTTGAACTGGGATGTTTAAGGTAAGTTACTGTAGAAACATTATCTGTTATGTACAAAGACTAATTTGTGAGGAAAACACTGAAAATTGTATCATACAGACATGTGATTACCAAAGCAAGAGAGAGACGAAGGATACCAAAGGAAATTCCATTCAAACTCACAAGTCGAAAACAAACCGACAACGCCATGGTTAAAAAAGAAAAAGACAAACTGACAAACAACAGTACACAAAACAAATAGAAAACCAAAGACTGAGCAACAAGAACCCCACTAAAAACTGGGGGTGATCTAAGGTTCTCCGGAAGGGTAAGCAAATCCTGCTCCACATGTAGCACCCGTCGTGTGGCTCATGTAAGTACAAACCCGGTATTATGTCTAATTCGGAAGGTCACATTCAGGGGAAAGGGGACGAGACTGTAGTTTTGACAATTAATGAAATTAACTTCAAATATGTTTAAACAAGTAGACAAACAAGATTCAACAAAGGAAAAAAAACTTGGGTAGTGCAACCCTATACAAAACAAGAGTAGTTTTGGGCACCAACGAACGCTCATTATTTATATTTCAATTTCTATGTATCACCTTACATATATTTTAATGCGAATCAGTATGGTTGAATGTTGCGTCAATCGAACTAGTATTCAAACACATTAAACGCAGATGAACTCCAAACAAACAAATGTTAGTTCTGACTCATCCGTGTAACAATGAATCGTATTTGACATCTTGATACCTAAAGCAAAACAATTGGCAATCAACTGATAAAAGCACACAAGTCAAGTAGACACCATGTCTAGTCAGTTCCTTCAACATTATTCTAGACTACATTGGTTTATTTCAGTCAATCTTGAAAGAAATGACAAAACTACATCATTGTTGATTTTTTTTTATCTGATATAGTGGTATTGTGGCAAAACGTTGTATGATATAGTTTGACTATCATGTGCCTCTTAAATTCAAAATTTGTAGGGCTAGATGATTTTAAGGGCCAAAATTACAATTGAGAAAATTCGACTTACAAAATACATATAGTAGTATTACTAAGTAGCGATACTTTGTTTTCAAAATTCCATTTTATTTTTTTTTTAGGTTTTTAGCAACAAGTCTTGGTGTATGTTATAAACGAGGGCGGCTGTCAACAATACGGATACAAGGAAATAAAACTCCAGATATTCAAACAATCTTTACCCCAGCACATCAATCAGCCAATCAAATTTCACAAAACATAGTGAACAGTAATATTTTATCAACTGATCAAAGAGGGTATTCATTTTCTGTTGAGGCAGTCGTTGAAACAAATAATAGATATAGTCGTCTTGAGTAGATTGCCAAAATGTTCAGTTTTGTGCAATTAATTTGAAGATCTGGATTTGCAACAGTAAGCTTTCAAGAAAGATATTTTAATATTAAAATCTACACACGTTACATCTGAATATTCATTCAATAGTTGGCTACATAGCATAAAGTATACATTTTGTAATTTTTATGTTTGTGGATTACTTATCCACATTCGTATGTGGACATGTTATGAATCAAATTTTGAACAACACCCAAGTATCAAAAGAATAATCAAGTTAATAAAAACGTACAATCCTAAAAATTATATGTTATTCTGGAACATTACAGAGGATATGGGCTCATATTCCTTGTCAGTGTTTTATATTTCCTGAGCCGTTAGTCGAAGTATAGGGCACTGACAGGGAATATGAGCCCATATCTCATATGAAGCCCGAATAACAATCATGTTCTACTGGAGTGTCCTGATTTAACATTATCTACCATTGTTATCTTCGTTTTCGCTCACAGGGTATATGGGTTCATATACCCTGTCAATGAAACCAATCAAATTGCAGGATTAGCCGGAATATTTCACTCCAGAATAATATATTACCACTGAAATTTATGAATATTTTTTTTAAATATTATTAACCAAGGTTTGTGCTGACTTTTCGGAAAATAAATCATAGTCGATTTACGTATTTTATTTCGAAAATATGAGTCATATCAGTATGCGTGTCTATGTTGGGAAGATATATAAGAAAATAAAAAGATGAAGGGGTCAATGTAAAATCTCAATAAAAATTGTTATATGTAAGGAGTCTGTTTGTACATAATTATGTGGATAAAGAAAGTAGACATTTCTTTTACATTTCTTTTGAATTGTGAGTCCTAGACTACATTATTTTTTTGCATGTATTGTATTTATTTGCCTAGCATAATGTTTTATGAAAATATAGTTTGTTAATATAAATTAAACCATTTGTTATTTTAAACTTGTACGATACGAAAACAAAATATTTATAATGAGATAATTGTTTTTCTTTACATCATATATTCCGGTGACAGCAATTTAGTCAAATTATGAGTCAAACACATTTAATTGACTTATTTTTATAAATCGATCTTGTTTTGACAAAGGATGGCATTAAATGATATTTCTTAAACATTAACACTACAAACCAGTAAAAGTCTGAAATGGCCTATATCTGTACTCGACTGTACTGATTTTTACTCGACCAGTCTGAATTGGTCTGAATTTTACTCGACATTACTCGACCCCAGTCTTAACCATACTCGACTGTACTGATTTGTACTTGACCCTTATCTTTGCCATTGAAAATAGTCTGAACTATTACTCGACCAGTCTGAAACAGTCTTAACCCATTCTCGACCTGTACTCGACCTATTTTTTTCAGTCTAAACCATACTCGACCAAAGGTCTGAACAATACTCGACCAGTCTGAACCATACCTGACCAAAAAACCTCTACTTTTTCTAAATTTTAACTGTTAAAATAAATTTCTTTTTAACTGACATGACAACAGCCACAATAAAATAAAGATATATTATAAAAACAGATTTTTCATTCTTACATGATTCTCAGATTTATCGAATAGAGATAGTTAAATCAAATTATCTTATATAATAATTTAATTATATTAATTTTAAAGTTTTAGAGTTTTGTTAGAAAAGGATTTTCTTTTACCTAAAAACCACATCTATACTCAGGGTAATTAAACCTTATTAAGGTGCTTCTTGTTTGGCATGTGTTTTTTTTTAAAATTAATTTTCCTAAATTCCTAAATAAAAACTGCATAGGTTTCATGGTTACGTACAAAAAATGTACAATAGTTATATAATTATCTTTTAAATGAGGTAACAACAGCCAACAAAATCACTGAAATTGTTTAACCTTATTTTAGAAATATATCTATTATTATAATTTGGGATATATTATATACAATATATATCCAAAAGGGATAAAAATTAAAGAATTTAATAAAATTGTTCTTCTGAGAAGTGGTGAAGTATAAAGTAATACCTCCTGCTTGGGGCAAACTCATGAAAAAGATCACACCTGGTCAGAGAGTATTAATTAAATTCTAAATAACATTCATTCAAAATTGCAACATCCTGTGAAACTTAAATCGCAAGGCCTTTTGAATTCACTAGATAAGTAATACACGAGTTTACGAAAAATAGGGCTTTCTTTTTACCTGTAAAATACACATGTACTGAGGTGATTAAACCTTATTAAAGTGCTTCTTGTATGCCATGTCTTTAATTTTGACAAAAATTATTTAAATTTAACTGAAATAAATTTTTACTGTAACTTTGGAACACATTTCCTTTTTTAAAAGTTTATCACAGGATTACTATGGAAGTTCTATTATCATGATTATATTAAATTATTGGTTTAACAAAACAAAGGTGTCATTTTTTAAATTTATTAGGTTGCTTTATATGCTATTTTATATAAATTTTAATAAAAAAAAATGTTCACTGCATTATTAACTAAACTCAACTGACACCACACATCTATACGAGGCTTAAGTTAATGGTGAAAATTGTCCAGTACCCATAAAATATATCTGAAACATTCAAAAAATTTTGAATAACATTGAAAATATTAGTCACAATTCAGTTTTGAGATTATTTGATCAGCTTGTTTTATATTTATTTTAAAAGTGATATATATGTATGTATATAAGTGTTGATGAATATGGTGATGAAGTTATATTATGTTTATTGTGAAATTTTGGTTTTAATGCTATATTGAATACATTTTTAATTTCAAATTGTTGTTCAAATTTCTAGCCAGAGGAAATAGTTGTTGTTAAAAACAGTTCCTAAATTGATGAAATACAATAGATAGATACAAAAAAAAGGTCTAGGTTGGTTAAGACTTTGTCGAGTATGGTTCAGACTAGGTCGAGTATGGTTCAGACTAGGTCGAGTATGGTTCAGACTAGGTCGAGCATGGTTCAGACTAGGTCGAGCATGGTTCAGACGCGTATAAAATGGTTAAGTACTGGTCGAGTAAGGGTCGAGTACAAGATTAGTATGGTTCAGACTACAGTCGAGTATCATCAAGTAAATTTCAGACCAATTCAGACTGGTCGAGTAAAAATCAGTACAGTCGAGTACAGATATAGGACATTTCAGACTTTTACTGGTTTGTAGTGTAATCATCAATGATACCATACTTATAATTTAGTAGTTTTTGTCTCCCGTCTCCGCAGTATAGTTACCAGTAGCATTTAGATAAAAAAAAGTTGGAGGGTCTAAACAAGTTTTGACCATTGAAAACCTAAAATTCCAAAGTAGAAGTGCAAATATAGCTGAGATTCTAAGAGTTTTAGGTGATTTTACAATTTTTATGAACAGCAAATTAACAGCGAATACCCGAATCAATATTTAATGTAAGCACAGGAGTAATGGCTACTGGACTGGTGGACGAAATAAGACGAACGAAACGATATGCATTTAATATAATAAAAGTTATCTTAGATGAGTTTGACTGTTCTGTATAGGCCCTGTTGGTTGTTTTACTCTTAACTTTCAATATATTTGTCTCCAGTGTATCTGATGAAGATTACCCAGAAACATGTACCATTCCTACTGAAATAAGTACCATACGTTCATATCAATGTACATAGATTTGGTGACACTACTGATGGTGTTTATAGGTCCTATGGTAACTTTTCATCTAATAGCCAGTCATTGTGATTCGATGTTGGCATGATTGAAAGTTACAAGAAGTTTTTTAGTTAAGTAGAAATTACGTCGTTTTTTTTTCAAAAAATAAAAGTTGCAACTCCCTCAAGCAATGATGGATTTGACTGGGTTTTTTTTCTGGGCTCATTTTGATTTGGCTTACCTGTTTCGGTTAGTTTGTGATGTTGGGTTACTATTAATAATAAACTCATCATATATGCCAGGATACAAATAGTGTCCGCTAGACGCGCGTTTTGTCTACAATAAACTCATTGGTGACGCTCGAATCAAAAAGTTAAAATAAAGTATGAAGTTGAAGAGCATTGAAGATCCGAAATACCGAAAGGTTTTGCCAAATACAGCTCAGGTAATATATTCGTGGGGTAGAAAATCCTTAGTATTTCGAAAAATTCAAAGTTAAGTTAATGCTTCCCAAATCATCTAACGGATTATCAAAGGACATTTATCTGTGTATCTTGTAGTGCAATTGATCTGCTTTGGTATCACTAGTTATCTGTTTTTCATGTAAAAGGCTTATAAATATTTGAAAGTGGAGTTATAGGACGTAGGAAACGGAAACTTCCTTCCCACTACAAGAAATACAAATTATATGGATGTTCTAACAGTTCAAAATTTTGAAAATTATTTTAAATTAAGAAATATATCTCCCTCATGCAAAGTATGATTCCTTGTCAGGCTTTGGTTTTTTATACTTTTTGTCCTTTTTGTTTTATAAGCTCTTCAGTTTTTTAATAAGTTTGTGGATTTTCAAATATTTGTTGGCCCCGAGTATCACTGAAGAGACCTTAATTGTCTAGTGCAGAAAATTAGCACCGTAAACGTTTTACTACCACTTGGTTGATACCTCTGCTGGTGGACTATTTGTCTCCGAGGGTATCACCAGCCCAGTGTCCAGTACTTCGGTACTGTCAAGAAAATACGGATATTGTGTTAAGAATTTGTTTTAAGGAATACAGCTCCTTCGTGTAAATCTCAGATTCCTTTCCGGCTTTGGCTAAACATTTTGTTCTTTTTGGTTTATAATTAGCTCTTCTTTTTTTTAAATCAGATTTTCAAATATTTTTGTCCTCATGCAGCAGTGAGGAGAAAATAATTGTCGAAATGCGCATCTGGTGCAGAAAATTGGTACGGTTAATGTTATTACTATAACTGGATCGATAACTCTGCTGGTGGACTGTTAGTCCCGACGGTATCACCAGCCCAGTAGTCAGTACTTCGGTACTGGCATGAAAATACGTATAGTATGTTATTTAAATTTGCAATTTCAAAATTTTGCAAATTATCTTAAATTAAGGAATATATCTCCCTCGTGCAAAGCTCTGCTTCCTTGTCCGGCTTTGGTTATACTTTTTGTCCTTTTTTGTTTATGGTGCAAAAAATTGGTATCGTTAATGATCATACTACCACTGAGTCGATTCCTCTGCTGGTGGACTATTAATAGTCCCCGAGGGTATCACCAGCACTGTAGCCTATACTTCGGTACTGCATGAAAATACGGATATTGAGTTATTAAAATTTGCAATTTCAAAATTTTGGAAACTGTTTTGAATTAAGTAATATATCTCCCTCATGCGAAGCTCCGATTCCTTGTCCAGCTTTTGTTATACTGTTTGTCCTGTTTGGTTTATAAGTTCTTTTTTTAATAAGTTTTTGGATTCAGATTCTGAATATGTTTAATCATCGTGAACCGGAATAAAATTTAAAACAAATCTTCCAAAATCTTTTTAACCACTTATTTTCTTGCAACTTTCAGTTTGTGTTCCAATTACAACACTAAATAGTATCTGTACGATTGTTATAACCTAATTTTCTTGATATGAAAATCAAATCGAGTGATGAAACTACGTCTAAGTTCAAATTCTTGTCCTCCAAAATGTCCCACTATACGTCTTTATGAGAATCTTTACATTTTTCATGAGGTCCTCGTTTTTGCCTGCTTTAAATTTTCCGTGTCTATCAACTCAGCCGTTTAGATGCTTCTTTTTGGTTCTGAAAATCATTTTTAGGGAAATAATTAATCAAGTAAAACTTTCTTTTGGACTACGATAGTCTACTGCGAGCATGATTTACTAGCTCCGATCCATTTTGACAGAACAAATCAAGAAAGTTTTCACAGAAAGTAAATAAACAATTATGGAGACCAGGCATCCACTAAATCGTACCTAGTTAATGATTTAGATACCAGGGTAGACTGTAATGTCTTTGAACGGTTTGTTATTGTGCACCCCTACTGGCCGATGTGTTTTTGTACTCTTATGAAGCATACAGAACCTTCTCAAAGACAAAAAGAAAAAGCATCTTATAAAGTTCTTTAATTTCACTTTCAGATATATTGATGATGATTGTGCTGATACTCATAACCCACATTTCACTGAGTGTTTTCATCAAATATATCCCAGTACACTTTATATATCAATGATACCAACAAACAAGTATTTATGCTTCGTATCTTGGTCTTTTCCTAGATTTTCACACAGATGGACGGCTTCCGACATCTATGACAGACGTGATTTCAACTTTCCAATTGTCAACTTCCCATTTTCACCAGTAACACACCCTTTACCCTATTGTGCACTTACATATCTCAATAAATATGTTACGCTCGTGCTTGTATACGCTATACATTACGGATTTCATTAACAGGAGTCTGATCCTTACACAAAAACTTCTCTAACAGAGTTATGACGAAGAAGAACGCTACATTAGTGAGTCATTAGTTTTATGATCACCCTTGCTAATTGGTTGACCCATACGATGTGACTGGGTCTTAACTTTACAGCAACATGTTTTCGCGGTTTAAGATACCAGAATTGTCGTCTTGCTCTTTAATTTCCTGATTGTGTCTTCTTCTCATTGATTGTGACATTTTGACTGATTGTTGATAAGTATTGAGGGTGATGCATGTTTAGCAGGAGACTCTTGCCCAGTCTCGTTTCTTTTGGAGTTCATGCGATTCTCTCACTTTTTGTTTACTTCCTTGATTTGTATCTTCACAAAAGATTGATGACATTTGAAAATCAGTAAACTACTGTTGTCTAAAAACATATCCTATTGTGCAAACCTCTTTAAATTGCAGCTATTTGAGCCAATTATAATTTATTTCGGTAAGTCTTAATTTTTTAAAGTTCATGTTAAACCTAAGAAAATATGTTCAGTCATTTGTTGCCAACTCAACAGGTTAAAATCGACCAATTTATAATTGCGGTCGTAAACTTTTTTAAGTGAAGCCTGTTTGGGTTATTTTCAGATTTCAGACAGGCATTTCGAATTTAATTGCTAAAGGATACTTTAAAATGTATGAAGCTGGAGATATCATCTGACTTTAAATAATTTATAAATGAAAAACAAATTTCTCAATGGGAACTTATAAAGAAATAACTTGAAATGTGGTAATATTATGAGTAGCGATTAAATTATTAATATTTCCATTACATTTCCTCGTTTAATATTATTAAGTTTAATTCCATAATTAATTTTCATAGATCAAAATGTGCATGCCACTTTGAACGAACATCTACATGTGAGATTTCATAAAAATGTTGTAACGTTATTAGGCGTTGTGATTTTTATCCATTTTTTTGTATAGTGATGATGGGGCAAATCTTAATATAGTAGCTGGGATTTATCAACCATAATTTAAAATTGGATCGTTTTTCAAAAGTTCGATAGAATTTTGCCCTTTACGAGATTTTTCAGTCCGACGGCTTGGTCCACGGTGGCTTGGTCATTCAATCGACCTCCTAAAATGGTTCAAGTAAAGTTCGGTAAAAAATAGTTCAGTGGTTTCTAAGAATATGGTTGTTAACAAAATATCTACTATAACTAACAGTGGCTTTTATGATTCATATCAGTTGTGGTCTTTAATCATAAATCATAAAGAAGATCACAAGCTACATATCATTTCCGTATAGATACCGAGCGAACTTGTGCTTGAGTTTTGTCCTGTTTATCACTTAAAATGATGACACTTCGTACCAGATACTCTGACAGCATGCTGTGATTTCTCCATGAGTTATATCCTATTTAGTTATTCCTGATACTTGAATAATATTTTTACATAACTATTACATAACACACAGCTACAGTATAATTCTGTGGAGTTTAAATACCTACGGAATGACGACCGAGGTCAACGAGGCCATATAAATTGTACATTTTACCTGTATACACAGGTACAAATACACATAAATTTTAAAAAGAAGATTTTATTAACCACTTACTTGATAAATTATTGCGGTTTTGTAGTTTGTTCGATAGAACGGTAGTTCAATAAAGATAGAAATCTAATTTTTACACGTATTTGAAGACCATCCCGAGGAAATTAAATGTTTTGACGGGAAGTTCGTCTAGAAATTGTCCGCTGTACTGTGTAAGTTTTTGGTAAGTACTTATATATTTCATCGTTTCGTTTTCTTTGTACAAAGGAAAATTAAGTAATTTTTATACTTAAGTAAATAAAACATAAATAAAACAAACAAGACTGGACTAGCATTTAGAAATTTTATTACAATTTGGCTTTATCTTGCATTTTGTGTACACGTAGATCATTCCCATTTTACAGTGTAAATAAATGGCACTAATATATACTGTACGGAATACTTGAAGCGTTGGTGGTTACTCGTGAGCTCTCTGCAATTTTGAAACTGTGATTAACAAACAATGTCTATTCAACTTTTTGAACCAAAAAAATGTATCGTAAACTTTTGTAGAAATGGGAAAAAAGTGTTTTTATCTCTAAACTAATTCCAAACGCTGAACTTGGTTTCTTAAATCCCGATTAGATCAGCGAGACAACACTAAAGATATATGATCAGATAATATCAACTGATAGAACACTGACTGATAAACAAACACACAATTGCGGATTTCTTGAATCACTTTAGCTGCGAAAGTCTTTCATAGGTCAAAAGCTTTTGATGTTCAACCCTTTCTTGCTTTAAAACGACTCAGTTTGGTTATTACAACACAATCTGTATTGTGTCTGTGGAAATAAGCAAGGCCCAAGAACCTCTTAATTTAAACGGGTAACTAAAAACTGTAACCGGGTTGAGCTTGTGTTGTGATAAACTATTCGACAACGTATCGCTATTTGCTATAAACTATTTTCTATAAACACAAATAATATAAAGTTGTCTGGCTATATCCGGTGTTATAGCATATCAGAAACTGTGGCCACTAAGACATTGATATATTAACTAGTATGTCTATCAACAGACATATCAACGGAAATACGACCACAAAATTGCATCACGGCTGATGAGTTGATTCCCTTTCGTTTAATCAGATTTTACTGTACCGAAGCTTCGAAAGACTTTCAAAGCTCGAAAAAATTTCTAAGGCAAAGTTTAACACAAGGTGGTCTCAATTGAGAGTAGCAGTGAAAATTATATACGAAGAGGAAAAGAAGGCAGATTCATTGTAATCATTAATAGATGATCATCGTTTATCCTTTTATGTCTAACCAATCTGACTTCAAAACTTCTTTGCTCTTCTTTGCTCTTCTTTGCTTTCTTTGCTCTTCTTTGCTCATATTCATACATAAAGACGGGTTGAAAGAATAAGTCCATTTTTTTCAAAGAAAAATTGCCAACTCAGATACAAATGTCTGGCTATAAGAAGGTACAAATTATTATTGGCAAACAGTATTTTTCGAATAACTAGAATAATTTCCTGTTCTTAGAAAAGTATACAATACTTAAGATTTGAGAATAAAGGTGGTCTTTCCTTCCCAGTTTCCAATATACAATAATATAACGTGATCTAACTCATGAGTATCCATCACTCTATTAACCAGCACTAACAACACTACAATGTGTCATTTTATAGTTCACCTTTTTAAAATATTTTTTCGCCGGAGCGTCGCTGGTGAGTCTTTTGTAGACGAAACGCGCATCTGGCGTAAAAAGTTCAGCCTGATTTCTATGATGAGTTTAATCATTAATGAACTCAGCATATTTTGCATATTTGGACCAACGATATTTTGCAAGGCAATGCAGAAACACTTTTAAATTTTAAAAACATCTGTTACGATGTCCGTTCGCATAATACGTTTTTTTCTTGAAATAACCTCGCCAGGCACGTACGAGACCATATTTGACCAAATCTTCGAATAAGTTTTACAGAACTTGTTGTGTAACCAGTAGTTATTGATATCGTAATACATTAATAAATAAGAAACATATATCATGGTTTACAATTCGGTTTGGTGGGAAAGTGTCAGCTACGTTTTAAGATTGAAACAAGGAAATACAAGGTGATTATCATCTGTGACACAGTGTTATGTATACAAGAAAAAGATGTATTGATATACATATGTCCTGAGGGAAACTAGTTTGAATAGAATGAATAATTTATTGTGAAATGACACTCATATTACAGATATGATCTAGACAAAAATTTAGTTATTGATATTTTTTCCTGTACTTTTTTATTTTTTGGATGGACGAACCCTTATACCGTTTGTCTTTAAATAAGATTTTAAAAATTGTCAGCACCACAATACTTTATGAGAAAACAGCAGTTTGGAAATTTTGTGAGCGCTAAGGGTAAAACATCGGGGTTTTTCATCTACGTAGCAGTTCGTATTGATAATAAATCGTAATCATAATTGTAGTCTTTCTAAGAAATCTAAACCCAAAAATTGTGATTGCTCATTTTCAAAATTATTTCTAATTATCTTATTTTCAAAGGTTTCATTCAATCTTCTTTCATATTCAAGAAAATATTGTTTATTGGGCAATGGGATCACCTCCAGTTTTTTGTGGGGTTCGTGTTGCTAAATCTTTAGTTTTCTATGTTGTATCTTGTATACGTATACTATTGTTTGTCTTTTATTCTTTTTCGCTTTTTTTTTGCCATGGCGTTGTCAGTTAATTTCAACTTGTGGGTTTGAATGTCCCTTTTGTATCTTTCGTCTCTCTTTTTTTAACATAGTAATTCTAATGATCTGATTAAAAAAGTAATGAAGTTGGTGTTGTCGAAAAAATAGTCTTATGGTTTAATGGTCACTCTCTTCGGTTAACAATAGATTATTAACCTTAGTGTTAGTGTCAAATATAAATATTCAGTGTTGGTTAGTTATCAAAGTTACTTCATTTGGTCTATTCGAAATTTGACATTTATAAGATTAAATTGTAGACAAATAATTTACTTAACAATATTGAATAATTGTCTACTTAAAACTTGGCAGGGATGTTTTAATCTTGACCGGCCATCGCCAGCTCGACAAAATATATGTCACGGGAACGTTCCAATATTCATACATGAAAAATACCTATAGGGCATAATGTAAGACCTGAAATATTTTTGAACAATGCAATTTATCATATCTATAATCTACAGTTTAGGCGTGGTATTTGAGTAGAGCGCTAAAATGGTCCACTTTTATTGTCTTAAGTTGTGTACAATATGTAAAAGGAGCTTTTTAAATACCTCATAGTCAATAATCTATTTGCATTTAAAGAATTCAATACATATGATTATTTTGCTGTCGGTGCTTGTTCAAGTTTTGAGGATTATTGCTATTAATTCGCCTTTTAATAATCGGTGTGAATAAAAGCCGTGTGAATCAGGTATGTGAATTGTATTGTATATCATCTGTTGTCAGTATTTGGTGTGAAAAGACACAAATTTTATCTAATGTTTAATTCAAAAATTACTACGTTAAAGCCTCATACTTAGTCATGATTGTGGTTAGTCTATATAGAGAAAAAAAATAGGATGGAAAAAAGTTTTTTCCCAAAAGCATTTTTATCCTATGATTAACAGGCAGATAATTCGAAATTCGTGTTTCATTTCCCATGCACTTTAGATATCGTACCTGTAATGTACACATGAAGTAAATATATGACGAATACCTGTAAAATTTTTAAACACTTTATTTTAGTATTGTTTTAACAATTGCATATTGTAGAATTGAAACGTATTTTAATATTGTTTTAAGGTGGAGGTTTGGAAAAGGGCCTTTTAGTTTTTACTGGAGAAAAGTTGTCCGTCTGTTAATAGAAATTAAGACAAATGGAGATTCGTTCACTAGTCTTCCTTGGATCTATTTCTGATATTTTTTTCTGCACACATTTGGAGTAGGAGGATTATGTCCCATATTGGCTCATATATATGAAGGTGTTGTAAATAACTTCATATTTTACAGAACATTAAGAAGTATACAGGGATTTAAAAGAAAAGATAATTCAAGACATCACTTTCAGCGTTATGAAGCACAATTAAGATAATATACCTTTGACGGGTTTCGTTTGCAAAAGTGATTTCGACAGCATTTCCTTCATTATTTGTTGCGATGAAACATCGAACACAACATATTAGAGAAACAAAAAAAAGTATTTTAAGAGATGTCATATCCGTTATCATACATTTTCACTAAACGTGATTTTGTTTCTAGGCAATCTGCAGTAGTCGGTTTCACAAAAAAACTTACGACTAAGATTGGTTGTAGGTAAGTTTTTTTTGTGAAACCGACTCCAGAGGCGGATTGGGGGTTGGCAGGTGGCCCGATACAGCCTTATGGAGCTAGATATATGCTTGATGCATAGACTGTTTTTACATGTTCTACTCCTAATGTTGCCTCGTTTGCTCTACCCCTTTTTTCAAAATCCTGGATTCTCATCCGATCTGATTAAAATTCAAATCAGCCGTTACTCGTTTACTCGCCGAAGAGCAAACACAATCCGAGATCTATAGTTTAATTAGATTAGTGGCTAGGGTGTGCATTTCCATTTACGTAGTCCTAAATATTGACGATAAACAATAAGAAATAGGAAAATGTTTAACATGAGTATTTTTACCACTCCTTGTTGCCACGTTAAAAATGGAATAAAAAAAATGTTTTCCTGAATAGCACTTAACGTAATACGGTTGAAACAGGTTTATGACTTCTTTATTTGCACCGTATTTTGAAACAAAAAGGTCGTGGACCTTGCAGCTCCTAATACTGCTGACTTCTCTGAACGTCGCCATCGGATCCGGACCTAAGTGTATATGCTCCTCTAAATTAATAAACTTACTATTTGAATATAATACTCATTATCATTAATATTATTTGTGTTAGGGGTAACAGCTTTACTGTTTACTACATATTGCTATTCTATCCTTCAAAAGCAATGTATCTTTTATATGTTAGTTGAATGTCACGTGCAGTAATCGAAACTAGCATGATATTAGTTTTTACAGACAGAACGAAATGCAGCATATGGCAAAACAATTAAAGTGTCACTGTAATGTAACATATGTAGGTCTTGCATGTTATATGCCTACCCCGAAGAGTACTAGTCCCATATAAAGTTATACATCTACCCCGAAGAGTCCCATTTAAAATTATATTTCTACCCCGAAGAGTCCCATATAAAGTTATATTTCTACCCCGA